AACACTATTTTACAACTTTCCTCTTAACATCAGAGCCCAAATGCAATTTCAGGGCCACCAACCCTGCTCTGAATTGCAACCTCCTGTGCTTGAAATGAGCTCCAGGTTTTCTTAATATTCATCAGCAGAGTTGCAACTTGGTCACAGAGCCATCCTTACCCCAGATGTGTGATCGTTGCAGGCAACTTTTCGGCCAGCGTGACAGCAGCCTTCTCTGGTCAGGGAAGATTAGTGAAAGTGTCATTGACGATTTATGCAGTTTTGGTGTAGCTCCAGGGCATAGCGACCCCCCCCTGGAATTCGGTAGCATCATCATATCATCGGGCATCGCAAGTCAGATTAGCCTTGTGTACATGAGAAACGTGTGAGAATGACTGTAAATGTGTTCAAGGTAGCATGCGTGCTTCAACACTTGTAAAATTTCCGATAATCAAACATTGCATATCAAATTGTTTCTTTTTCAACAGTCAATGCTGCCTTGACATCTTGTGATTATAATAATAATAATAATAGTATTATTATTGATTACGCAAAGCAAAATATTATCAATGAAAATCTTGTAATTACCCAGCAAGATCTGCTCCGCGTTTTGATTTCCAATTAAAATATTTATAAGCTAAAATAAAAGACACCTCATACATATCAATACAAATAAAAAGTAGTACCCCGGGTTATTTATTAACACGTATTCTTTAAGAGACCCAAACCAAAAAACAACAATGTTCACCTTGGACTCTGTCAAAAAATAAATTGTTTTCCCAAAAAAAAAAAAAAAAATCATTCAATTCGCGTCTGTCCTACCAAAAAAAAAAACCAATAGGATAAATAATTAATGTGTACGCGTCAACATAGTGGAAATTCTATTTTTGCAATTGTCACATTTACATTTTAGTAGAAGATCTTCGTGCTACATACATAATAAAATTCGTTTGAATATAACTTTAGATTAAAGAGTTTTTTATTTTTTTGCATGATGTACAAACATATGTATTCGAATTTATTTATTTAAATTTTGTGGTCTTATATATCCTTTGATACATAATAGTAAAGCTTTATATTAATATAATACTTATTGAAGAAATAAAATATGCATATTTGTATATACAGCTATAACAAACACTAAGTAAATAACAAACTTCACTTTTTTATATAATAATAATAATTAATTTCTCCTTATAATCTTAATAAACACAAATAAAAAGTAGATAGATTCTTATTAATAGTTTCTTGCTTGCTACAGTTCACTCTCTCTATAATGAACCTTCCATAAAATAAACAAATGTTTAAATAATAAATTTTCAATAATACACTAAATAAAGTAAACATACATACATAGTCAAATAAAAGCCAATGTAAAGATCCATATCAATAAGAAAGTTCTGGAAGAATTAATGTTATATGCTCTATATGTAATTTGAACCTTTTATGCATTTTCATGGAGTGTGGTCCTAATACCTTCAAATATCACTAATATGCGTGTATCTTTTCCTACACTTTTATACATTTCTTTAATGAAAGAGTAAGGTATATGCAACTTTTATTTTCTTTAAAAAAAAGAGATATATATATATATATTAATATGCTTTTCTTATAATTTTTTAAAAAAGATATATATATGTATATTAATAATAAAAAATAGTGAAATAAACTAACTTTAATACGTAACAGTAATTTATTCTCTATGAAGGTTGTAATTTTGATCTTAAAGTTGGAACAAAAGAAAATAGATTGAAAAAGAAGGAGTGAATTAGTAAATGAATGGAAAACATTCTTAGCTTTTATATTCACATTTAATATATGTTGCTTGTTCTTATATATATCATATCATTCATATATTTTATAATAAATTTTATCTATATACCTTATACAGTACCTGGACAAAAGTATCAGAACACTTGCTTTTGTTGATTGCGCAAAAATATACATAATAAGCATATATGAAATTTATATCATTTGCGGTTTAGGTTCTTGTGGATATCTATGGAAAATCCCATGTATCTAGGTTCCGTAGAACTCGAATAAACATATAAAAATGAAATTTGATTAAAATTTTCTTTGACGATCACTAAATCTCTGACGCAAAATTCTTTATTTTATTCTCAAATTCTATGTAATAATTTTTAATTTAAAATTTTAATATTTAGTTGGGTATCCTTTGCTCTTTATACAAGCCTGAATTCTACTAGGCATGCTTTCAATCAAATTCATTAAAACACTTTGAGGAATTTTATTCCATTCCTCTTTTAAAGCAGCCTCAAGTTCAAGTTCTTTAAGATTTCTTAGATTGTTAGGACGACTTCTAATAGACATACTATTGTGGTAAGAAAGCCAAGTATTTTAGAAATACTTCTATATGAGGCTCCACTTTTATAAAGACAAACTATTTGTCCGCGTTGAGCTTCAGTTAAATTAGACTTTTTTTTTTTTGAAATTTAAAATTTTGAAAACTTTAAGATTTTTTTAAAAAAAAAGATCTTAAAAAATATTATTTTTTCAGAATCACCAAACTTGAGTTTTCATATACAAAATTTCAAAACATATTACTATGTAGGCTCTTGGACAATTTCTAAAACAACATGTTAAATTTTTGATTGCCAAAATTTAATCGAATTTCATTTTTTCTAGTTCTACAGAATCTAAGATGCATGGGATTTTGCATAGATATTCGCAAGAACCTAAACTGCAAATGATATAAATTTCATATATGTTTATATGTATATTTTTGCGCAATTAACAAAAGAAAATGTTCCGAAACTTTTGTCCAGGTACTGTATGTATGTATTTTATAAACAGGATCCTTCCAGCATCTCTACTTCGCGACACATTTTCCAAAACCAAGTTACAAGTTATTATAATTTTTTATGAAGTTATCATGTATAGTTTTGCGTAGCTAATGAATTTAAATTTTGGGGTCAAATGTAAACACCAAAAATCCAAACCATTCGGAGCTTTAATTATATTATTTTCCAAAATACTTTGTTAGAGGGAAATCAAAATTTATTTTGTGATATTTATATATACTTTAATATTATATACACGATTTTTATTCTTTAATCCAATCATTCATCCACTTCCTAACACTATCCATAATACCCATAACATTCTCTTCATTATAATCTTTAAATTTAGTTGTTAATGCTGTTTTAGATTTTTCATAACAAATATCACATTCA